CATTATTTTCTTGGACGTATTTGTAAGTGTTCTTAATTTCTTTAGGTTTCACCTCATTTCAATTAGTAGTCAGAAAACTAGTACAGGGTAGGATATGAAAAGTGCATTTTTGAATTGGCTGTTTAAGTCATCTGGTCTTCTGTTCTACTGGTTGAGACATTAAGAGAGAGACAATCTAAGACGTTATTCCAAAGCTTGATACTTTTTGTTCAATAATTTTTTTCTTAATAGATGCATAATTTTTCTATGCCTACGGTTGTAATTTGTTCCCTTCATTCTTGGTGTTTACATTTGCAAATACTACCAGACTGCTCTTTACAATCCTTCCTCTGAGAGATCTTAGATGTGTTCTAAATGAGTTTATACAGAAAATTAAATAGTAATCTACTATGAAGCATTTCTCACCTCAGAAACTTCCTTAGTTTTCATCATATGGTTCTGGTAATCTGATGCTCAACTGAATGTAGTATTCCATGTAGGATCATATGGGAACTGTATAAGCTGTTAAAATGTACAGTCTGCTCTATCTCCAGATGCATATGTGCATGCAACACAAATTTGTATTGATCTTTGCAGCTGTGTTGCAAGCTGTTGCTTATTGGCTGTCTGCAATCCCTCCTAGATGCCCTTTGTTCTTCATTCCTTGAGTTTTTCGTCTCACTGTGGAAATACGTGAGGATGTCTTCTTCCAGATGAATTCAACACTTTTTGTAGTCTTCCAGTGGCCATGACTCCTATTTGTTCAGTTATATCTGTGGAAAGCATAAGTTTCCACTTCTCCCACATCCTTTAGGAAGAACTATAACACAGAACTAAATTGGCTCTCTTTCTCTCTGTGCTTTCAGTGAGGGTTTAGCGAAATACCTAGTAAAGAGATTCAAACCATGCTGCTCAATGTACCTACCCACTGGTTGCCAGAACTGGGTACCTCATGGAGGTGCATTCTGGAAGGCACAGAGTCCACACCACCAGCAGGGAGTTTGTAGCCTTTGTCTTAACTGAAGATTTTTCTTCAGTATTCATGATTTGCTCAGCCAGTGGACTAACTGTGTCCTTTCTCCATCTTGAAGATAAAATAATTCCTACTCAAAATGTACTCTAATTTAGCTTTGTGCTGCCCTCTTCATTTCCCTGCAATACCATACCTGTTCGCTGGCTTTACAGGCAGCTAACTCTGTGTTTGGAGAGGAACATAGTGAGGAAGGGCCTGCAAAATCCCAAGAGAAAGATCTTTTCCTAGTATTGGGTGTACACAGTCTTCTCAGACCATATATGCAACAGCCTTTTCTTCCCCAAATCTCCTTTGTTATAACCACCATTTCTGTTTCAGATGTGGTGTTAAGTGAAAAATTTCTTGCACTGCTGATGACTTTGTTATAAAATTTCCAGCCTTTTCAGACCAAGTTGTGACACTATTTACAGCATCATTGTGTCAAAAGTTATTTTTATATTTTATTGTTTTCATTAAGTATTTTAAATACATATAGTAATTTAAATTTTATTTAAAAAGCTTATGTGTCTTCTGTAGCGTTTTGCTGCCTAGAGTAACATGGAATGGAGGGGGCAAAAAAAGCATTTGGAGATCTGGTGTGTGATAGATGTTTCATTTCTGTCAGGTTTTTTTGATAACACATACCCACACTGCAGAGAGTTAGAGTACTTTGGATGCTATGGAGAGGGAAGAAGGAGGGGGGATTTTGGTCAGCAGTCAGATATTTGCCCCAAGTCTTACATCTGACAATGTCTGTACCTTTCCTGTGCTGATCACAACATCATTAGCTTATCTAGGAGGACAGTTAGTGAGGCTGATACTAGCCATAAAATTCTCTGTCATGTGTTGAGATTACTATGCATTTGTAAACTCCTACATCATTAGCTTAAATTGCCAGTTTCTTGGGATGTATAATTATCCTGCTTTGAGTTCATTCTCTTATTTTTTTGCAGAGGGGCCTCTGTGATGGGACTGATACTTTTTGTATGTAAGAGTATTAGTGGAAAGTCTTGGAGAAGATCCAGCCAAAGGTTTAAAAATGGCCATTACTATGACCCCAAACATTTATTATTTCATTGCTCATCCTCTCTTCTCAGATGTCATCTGAACGAATGCAGTATGACACATCAAAAAAACCCAGTGAAGCCCTCCAACAAATATTTGTTCACAGTAGGTGCGTGATTCATGAGGCGTTGTTCTGCCAGCATATGGACATGGGGGGTTTTGGTCCTGTTTATTATTAACCCCTTGAAATCTTATAAACTTTGATAATATTGCACTTCAGTGTTTATTTTGGAGACTACAGATTTTCCTTTATTTGAGATGCTATAAACAAAGTAATTTCATAAATCACTGTGCCACAGGAACTGGTATAGTTATTGTTTTCAATAGAAGTTGCTTAAGTTTTTGCTCACTAATGGGTGGAGATTTAGTGTGGGTTTTCTCACCACGGCCTAGGAAGGTCCATGGTGGAAGTCTTAGATAGTGGATGCCAATCAGCAAAGGTGAAATGCATTTCACCTACACTTAATGGTCTAATTGTCTAAAAGTCTAAGGGTGACTTTAGATGCACATGAGCAATTTGCTCTTCTGTTTTCTTTTTTCATTAATAGAAAAAGACCTGTGTTCAGGGAGTGACTCATGTGAACTACGTTAACTATCTAAAATAAGAATGAGATGACTACTCTCTGTTAGTCCCTAATTCTTTTCTGGTGAATAGGGTGCAGGAATCCTAGATAAGGTTTAGAGGTGATACCCAACTTTTACATAGGTAAAAGCAGATGTGCTGAATTTTGCCAACAAAGAGAGTCATAGCATTCAAACAAATATCAACTCTTCACTTCAAATACCTTCTACAACTCTGAAATGGAGTGAGAGTCAAAGAGTGACAGTGAGAATTGGCATGTACCACTGACATACATTTTAGCACGTATATTTGTGGAATGTAGAAGGAATTAATTAAAACTATGGTCCTCAATGAAAAAAGAGTCTTTTCTATTTAACGTAAGTACAAACACAATTGTACCTTATAACTCATTGACTTTATTGTGATTGACTTGGATTGTAAAATGGGCCACAAATCTTGTGATAGTTCTTGTATTGCTACTTTATGAGTATGCAGAAGCTTCAGTTTGGAAGGTGTTTTAGGAAACATCATCTGTTTCAGAAAACAGGACTGATACTTTACCAGGGAATGAGAGTTTGCTATACTCTGTTCCGATGAAAATCCTAGCAGCAATCCTTAACTGATAGTGCTGAGAAACTGCGTGGAGCAAACTGGTGAAAGTAGCTATTTTCGCTACAGTGCTTTCCACAGGTCATCCAGCTTTCTGAGATCCATTGTCTATTTTGGCTGTTAGACAAATAGTCTGTGTTTTCTGAAATTGAGGTTAGACCTTATGAACATGTTGTAGTTGTGTTTTGAAGATTAGATACTGTAATAATTTATCTTCCTTCAGTAATGATTTGGAAAAGTGTCCAGGTTCCTATGTCTCTATAACTGCTGCTGAAGTCAATGGTACCAATCAGAAAGTGGATTATTGCAAAGGGTTCATTTCAGAACTGGTGTTTTTTTTTTTCTCACTCTAGTTTATATGATTATGACTTGCTTTCTTACTCAGGTGAACGCTTAAGTTGGTTAATTTCTGTTTTCCATAGCAATATTTTCAAACCGTGAATGATCTCATTCTCTTCTCACTTCAGATCAATACCGACATGATTTCTGTTTGGTGGTAGTGTCAATTTCAGTAGGCCCAGGTACATTATTATAAGTTTTGCTTAAATTCAAGCTAATTCCAGCTTACCATGCAAGTTTTCAATATTATCTAACATTGTGCTATAACTCTTGCAGCTAATCAACAATTTGTTCAAAACGTACTCCAGAATTTGTATTTAGAACTCGAAGAGTTTGTTGGAGTTTTAAATCATATGCAGTAACTCTGTGTTTTCTTCTGCTTTGCAAAGCCAACAAAATCTCTAGCAAATTGCTGGTTTATGTAGATTCATAGGCAATTGCCATTATTTCGCAAAGCATGTACAACAGAAATGAGACATTAAGATTTTGAAGTTTAATATGCTGGAGGGAGAAAAGAAACCAAATTATATAAGACCTTGTAGCAATAAATATTTTATTTTGCTTATGGTGTGACATTTGATGAGTGTAAGCTATACAAATCAGAGTTTCTATTCTTTGCTTATGCAGCTGCTCCTTTACATGTTTCATTCACAATGTTTTTTCATGAAGTAGCAAGCTGACACTTGCCATGTTTTCTGTTCATTTTTCTCAGAACTCTAGATTGGAATGGTGGTCTATGAACCGTGTTTGAATCTGTGAGCTATGTTTGATTTCTGTAGGCACAGGTCCAAAATAAGGATAACTCTGTTCTGTCTTTTTCTGAAAAATGCAAAGCATTTTAAAAAGAGGCTGGTACCATTAGCCCTATATTAGTTATAAAAACTAAGGTCTTGTTAGCTTTGTGGCCTACAGTCAGTTGAGCAGCATTGCCTGGGTTTCACTGGGAACTCATGGAACCAGGACTCATGAGGTTTTTGAAGTGGTTGGAGGATTTGACGTCTGAGTCGCGATGGGCAGTTCTTGCTGTGTTTTGTTCAAATTTAAAGTATTTCTTATAACTAGGATCTTGAACCTGTAGCACTTGAGTTCTGCAGCTGATTCTCTCATTGACTTGGGAAGATGGTCAACACTTCTGTGCCTCAGAGTAGTATAAATGAATCAGTTAGCTTCACTGCAAGAATTAACTAAGTTTGGAGTTGCTAACGTGAAAAGAATCTTATTACTTACCAATTAATGTTTAATATTAGTAATTTCAGTGGTTTTTTTATTAAAACAAAGGTCAATTTCCCTCCATGTATACAGCTTGAAACTTCTTAGGCCACAAATTAATAGAGCAGAAATACTTGTGATCTTTGTCTAACTGAGAACTGAAGACTGATTTTTTTTTTTTTTTTGAAAAAGGTGCCTGATGACTTTCTATTCCCTTCTTTCTAGGATTTATCATCTTAAATCAAGGAAACTAGAATGGACAAATAAACAAACAAAATCCTTGAAATTTAAGGTAAAATAATTGAGGAAAAAAATCTTCTTAAATGTAAGATAATTAAGTTATTTGAAAGTTATCTGTGTCTGAAAGAATAATAAAACTTTCTGTTGCTGTTTTAGAAATAACTTTTATATTCTTCAACTTTCATCGCCTTTATTTCAACACACATGATGAAATAAATTGAGATTTACATATGGATATTTTATCTGTCAATCTGTCTAATTGTGCTTTGAAGGTTTCTATCACTACACTTTTCCAGTACCTTATAAATCATTACTTTAACATTAAGCATATCTTGCCTAGATATCCTGACTCCAAGTATCTGTGTTGAAGTCTGCTGAAAGAAATAGGAATCTTGTGACTGACTGTCATGGATCCAACATCCCAAAGACATTTTGGCCTAAAGTTTGTATTTACTTGGACACAATTATATGAATCAAATTTCAATCTTTCTTAAAGAATGAGCTGTTTGTTAACTATATCAGGAACTACACTAGAAACAGAATTATAAGGAAGCACAGTTTAATAGTGTTCTGAGTTTAAGCCTCTGTTTTGGTGAGATATTTGAAATGGGGATTTTAAACTAATTCTGACCCTTATTGCAATTTTACTAACTTTTTTTTTCTATTTAGATTTAATCAAGGAATTAGATTGCTGTTATTTACATGCTGAAATATATTGACTAATGTTTACACATTCATGTACTGGTATAAAACCCCCAATTAATACAAACTGAAAGACTGTCCTGCATTATTCCACTTTATGAACTCTAATTTAGACACCTTAAATACTTATGTACTCTTATCCACGTGCCTGGTTGATTTTAATGATGTAAAAGTGGCAGAGTGACTGCAAATGAAGTTCCTCACTCAACAAGTCATCCAGTAATTATTTCTGTGAAAAATTGCAGAATTTTCCTGAAATATACATACCTCAAATGATTCCATCAGGTGTAAATACATTTCTGGGAGGCAGATTGCAGAAATTTAGATCTTTATTTTCAAAATTAAGTCAGAAAAACTATTCTATCAATACTGCATTGTGATGGCTACACTTTTGATTGTAAACCCAGTGGTTCTTTTGCACTTGCCAAAGACATGAGGTTTTCCAAATGATAAGCAAGGAAAAACAGCCTGTTTCAGAGGTATGGGAGGGGCAAAACTATGTTCTCTCCTTTATTTTTATTTTCCTCTGGCAAAAGCCAAAGAAGACGTTTAGGGAAGAGATCAGTCTCCTTAAAAAATGAGCAGGGGTTGCTGGGAGGGAGGGAGAAGAGATTGAGGGTAAGCACAAAGTGCTGCCATTGGAGAGGGCCAAGACAGCTGAAACAGGGTGATACAGACTTTTCATTATCAGCAACAATTGCTCTGTCAGGAACAGCATGGGACTTCATTTAGTGTTTTTGAACTCGGATTCCTGATAGGAGTGCATTACATAACTTTTGCTTTGTGAGTACTGGCAACCGGCAACCTACAGAAAGACACAGCCAGAAGCACTGTGCTCAGCTGCTTGCTTTTTCTTTTTTTAAAAATCACCTATATCTGGGCCAAGCATTAAACAGACAAGCCTATCTTTACCCTTTCCCCTGCCCCCTCCATCAACAGAAGCCTGGTTTTCATCACAGATTAATAAATGGAACCTTTTATCATTTTGCTGTGCTTCCCACAGCATTTTGGTAGGAGTTAACAATGCTCCAAGTCAATATTGTCATAGTGCTTGAAATGTCTTCGCATGTTTGTTTACTTGAAAGAGTTGTGGCAGTGGGATTAGAGAAAGACTTTTAAACAGTCAGTATGTACAGCCTCAGAAACCTTGGGATAGTTTTGATCGTGTTTGGTTTGACAAAAATCTGTTGTGGAACTGTTGTTATTGCTTTTGTCTTACAGTTTTATAATAACAATAATTTTTTTAAAAAGGAGCCCATGTTATATCTTCCGCTGTCTCCTGAAGTGCTTATTTGTATCATTTGCTGTTAAGGAAATATGTCTAAGTGCTGAGGAATTCTAATTAAGCAGGCTCAGCTGGAACAGATAGCCATAGGATTTCACAATACTGTTCTGACATTATTTCCAGGCCCAGAAGCCAGGGAAATTCTTGAATTTTGGGGTTTTACCATGGTGGACATAGCTAATAAATCTTTCTTATTTGTTTTCAAATCAATGGTTTTGTAGACCATGTTATTTCACAATTGCTGTCAGTGGTTGTTCCTCTTTCTTACTTTCTCTTCCATTTGCCCTAAAAAAGATACAATTTTAGCCAAACAAGCAGAACCTCTTCCACATTTCTAAGAGAAGTGCTTATTGGACTAAACACCATAGGATTTCTTTGTGCTCAGATGGCTTATTTATGAGAAAAAATTTGGGTTATTATCCTTGGAGGTAGAGGCAATTCTGCTCAGCCCTTGAGGGCAACCGCATTGTAGATATTTATTGAATTTGTGAAAATTTAACAGTAAAGACACATAATAAATTCTGCTGTAATATATCCTTTTCTATGTAATATGCTCGTCAAAAAACAAGTAAAAACTTTTGTGTGTTGTGTAACTCCAGTTCTCTGTTTATATGGTAAACACTTCTCTGTTTTGCTTTCCAAGGGCCATCATTCCCTGCCTGCCTAATCTACTGTTGCTAACAAAAATGACAGTAACAAACCAGGGAGGAACAACCTTCTCTGGCCCTTTGTTTTTGCTCTGCTGGGTGAACACCTGGGGTTTTTTTCCCCTTGCCTCTTATCCTTTTCTCTTCGGGGAAAGGAAACCATTTGTATGTTGCACTAAGGAAAAGTGATTGAAAAGTGGAAGCCCATACTTTTCTCTTCAGCAAGCGGAGATCTGTTTTCAGTCTGATGTTTGGTGAAAGGAAGCTTCAGAGCTGCAGGCCAGCTGCCAGGAATGTCTGATTTCCTTTCCACCCACTCCTATGATCCTCCCTTTTGGCAGTGATTACCGATGACCACAGCTGTCATGCTAGGTCATGGTAAGCTGTCAAGCAAGGTAGTACATGAGATATACAAGGCCCAGTCCTTGATCTGTGCTGAAGAACAAGATCTTAAATTGAATCTGGTATCAGCCAGTGCGTGAGCATACCGCAGCAAGAAGTGTCGGGCTGATGTCAGCTTGTCATTCCGGTTTCTTGAGAAGGTGGGCGAGCAGTAGGTGCTTTTCTAACCTTTACATAGCTCCTACTATCCTGAAGCATGAAGAGGGGTTGTAATTTAGACAGAACAGCCGATTGTCAGGAATGGGCAAGTCCTTCCAGTCAGCTGAAATGAGAAATAGCACTTTGCGTTGCTCTCACCCGACAAGTATGTAACAATACAGGACAACTCCATTATCAGTGATCAGAACAACAGCATTCAGGTGGTTGTGCTGCATGCAGCACTCTGTGTGTGACTGACTGTTGACATTATGGATGTGACTGAAAATCACCACAGGACTGCAGACTTCAGAAAATGATGGATACTGTTGTCAGGGACATAACTTCTATAAATAGGACTTGCACTCTACGTAAGGCAGTATTTTGTTAAGCTCACATGTTCAGTGCCAAGTGCACAAATGTCTTCTGAAGAGGTAGTATTTTACTACATTTTATACTGTTATGCTGGCTTTAGAAAGCACTTTTTGCTGTAGCATCTGTTTTTCTTCTAACAGCATATTAAATAACGTAACTAAAATCCTTTAGGTGTTTACTCTGTATGCCTTCCTCCACAGGGGGAGGCATTTGTGATGAAGTGTTTGTTTTTAAAACATGTAAGAACAGGTTGCTTTCTGTTTCCCAGAGAAAAAAAGGTCAGCACTAGAGGGACAGAAGGTCATAAACACCGTGATTGTCCATTGTTTTTGTGGTAGTTTTTTGCCGCTTTAGGCTGGCACAGCCAAGGAACTTGCCTTCAAAATAGCTTCAAGGTATGTGGATGTAGGTGATGCTGATTTCTTTTGGTTCTCATTTAAGATGACTCTTGCTCCAGTTGGGAGGATGATCACCTTAGCAAGTTCCATCTGAACTTCATTTAGTATAATTTACTTCAGAATAGTAAACATAATTTCAGTTCTTTTGCTCTCTGTTCTCACAAAACACCTATGGCCTTGTAACAAATCTTACATAAAACTAAATTTGACTTTATTAAGCTCTTGCACAAAATTGGTAGAAAATTCCAGGAACCCTCTGGACAAGAGCCAGTGTCTTTACAGATTTCGCTTGGTCAAATAAGGCAACTAATGACTACTTTCAAAAGGCTGGGGAATCCACAGCTACAGCTAAGAGGGGTAAAAAAAATGTAATAAATAAACAAGTCCATCCACAAACCCTTCCTCAGGAAACCAGCATGGGAAGCACAGACATTTAGAATGACAATCCAGCATGTTTTGCCAAAGAGAGACTTTCCAAAACAGCTGTAGAAACGGTTACAATTTCCTTGAACATCCATTTTAATAGCATTATAGCCTCAATTGTTTATATGTTAATCTAATAGTTTTCATGCTGTCAGTAGTATTTATTGCAATTTTATAAAGTTTTAAACCTATGTAAGTAACCCTTGAGAGGGAGTGACAGACTTCAACAAACACTGCTGCCCATGAACCCAGTTACCTTCCAGCCTCTGTTCAGTCAGGTACAGTCGGTCTTAAGACTGTGACAGAAGCTGTTGTTCGGTCTCCCTGTGGGATACCACATTTGCTTCGTTTGTTCAGAAAGCTTTTCATAACTGTCCCATGTCTGGAGCACTCAGGAGTGAATATACTTCCTCTCTTTGAATAATGCCTGAACTCCCAGTGGAAGAGGAGGTATTTAAATAACTGTGTTGCCATGTATCTCATGATTTCAATCCTCAGAGTCCCTGAGCTATCTGAACACATATATATAATCAGCTTGGTGAATACTCTCTCTGGCTATTTATCAGCTATGAGCCTTTGTTTCCATTTTACAACTGCAACTCTATAACTTAAAAATATGATATGTCCTATTATTAGCAGATTTATTTATTTTTTTTTGTCTCCAAGAACAAAAAGTTCCCAACATAGGACAAACTTT